GGTCGATCCGAAGGTGTAAATCCGTAGATCGGGTAGGGCCGATCCGAAGGTATAGATCCGTGGATTGAACAGGGTCAATCCGAAGGTGTAAATCCATGAATCGAGCAGGGTCGATCCAAAGGTGTAAATCCATGGATTGGACAGGGCCGATCTGAAGGTGTAGATCCATGGATTGAGCATGGTCGATCCGAAGGTGTAAATCCGTGGATTGGGCAGGGCCGATCCGAAGGTGTAGATCCGTGGATTGAGCAGGGCCAATCCAAAGGTGTAAATCCATGGATCGTGCAGGGTCGATCCGAAGGTGTAAATCCGTGGATTAGGCAGGGCAGGGTCGATCCAAAGGTGTAGACCCGTGGATTGAGCAGGGTCAATCCGAATGTGTAAATTCGTGGATCGAGCAGGCTTGATCCGAATGTGTTAGTTGCTGAATAATGCTTCATTGAATTCAGGCTGTGAGACCGACTGTCTATGAAGGCGGTGGATGGGCCCACTCATCATTTTTAAATAAAAAATGGAAAGACTACAAATATTTAGATTGATTTCACCTAAAAGTAGTAGCGTGTGGGATGGATTGCATTCCAACTGTTGCTAATGTCTTTGCCTTTAGGAGTTTGGAGCAGGTATACACCCTTCCCTGCTTCTTTGGTGATCTTGTAGGGCCTACAATCGATCTAAGCTCTGGCCTTCTGTCGTTCTGCATTCAGTCATACCTGGCGTGAATTGCTCAATTCGTCTCATCTTCTTCCCACCTTATTTGAGTCACTGCTTTGGCCAGGGCATCTTCCATCGTGGTGCAACCTAGCTTCGTCAGTTCTTTGTATAGTTCACCATCCGAGAGGAGACCCTTGCTAAAGGCATCTACTGCTGTCTCGGGGTTACAAGAAGGGATGGAAATCTTCTCTTTGTTGAATCTGCTGACATACTCTCTCAAGGGCTCTCCCCTCCTCTGGTATACTCTGTATAGGTCGGCCAACAGTTTCTTGAGTTTCTTACTGCTGGCAAACTGCTCCACAAAGGTGTTGGTGAGCTGAGTGAATGAGTCGATGGAACCATTCGGTAGATTTGTGTACCACTGGAGTGCTAGGCCGGATAAGCTCGAGCTGAAACTTTTGCACATACATGCTTCCCTCAGCGGTCGGGGTATTCAGACAGTGAATATCCGCTGCTTGTACGAGGCTATGTAATCATCTGGGTCGGTTGTATCGTCGTAGGGTTTCATGCTAGGAATAGTAAACTTCTGGGGCATGTCGTTAGAGCGATCTCGTCCACAAAGGGTGAATCCGCGTAATAGTGAAGCCTGCTCTTCTTGGTCAGGACCGGCATTCCTGGGATGTGCCTCATCACTGCCTTTACATCGGCCAGCCTCTTGGCCAGTACTTATTCCGTAAAAGAGAGGGATGCCACTAGGTCATCCCGTCTGACTAGGTCATTCGTCCTCGGTACAATCCGTTAGGTCACCTCTCGCGGTGTAGTCTGGTGGATCATTCCTTCGTGCACTCCCTGTAGCCTGGATCTCCATTCATTCCCTCCGGTTGGATGACGCCCATGGTAATTGTTCTGGTGTTTCGCCCTACATGAATGCTCAGGGGAGTCGTCTGATATTCGTTCGGTCCATCAAGATGGGTGGGCTCTACTGCTATAGTTTGGTTGGGTTGGCCGTTCAACTCGTGAGGGTGAGCCGAGCCAAATAGTGTTTGTGCAGGGATGGTTGATTGGAGGTGAGGCTGGATGGTAAGAATGGGTTGGTCTTGCAGGGTGTGGGCTCTCTATCTCTTGGGCGTCTTGATCTCGAGACTGGGGTGGATCGAATGAATGAGGTTCTATTAGCAGATCCTTTCCTCTATGAGTCAAGATCGAGTCGTCGACCACCGATGAACTTGATGGACGTGGCCTTTTACCGGAGGCCAAGGGTCTGTGCTCTGGGGTTTGGAAAGGTTGCATGGATGGAATTAGGGCACAGAATCGATTGGAAGGTACTTGGCAAGGAAGAAGCTCCAGATCATAGAATTGACTCACCTTCTCTTTAAGAGACTGGTTTTTGGCCCTAATGGAGGCATTTTCGGTCCGGATTGCAGTGTTCTCGGCTTCCAGTGTGGCCACCTTGTCTGAATTCTGTTGCATGAGGGCTGTCAGAGCCTCCAGTTTAGCCTCGAGGCCAGGGTTAGCATTATCCGAATGGTCAGCCATGGCAAGTTAGTCTACGTAGCAAGGTTCGTCGAGCCGAATGATTGCTAGAGGCCCCACGGTGGGTGTCAAACTATAGATACAAAAATTTTACCATCATGAAAATTGGGTCTGATCCCGTGAGGTTGAGGCCATTGACAATCCGCTAGACCAGCACACATGAAAGGGCAAGCGTGAAACTTCCGGAAAATACCAGGGTGGTGTTTGCCGTAGGCACTCCGACGCTCAAGTCAGCGAGGTTGAAAGAGATTATTTGATAAGAATTAAGGAGATGAAGAATTACTAGGAGTCTTGTCGGAAGCTAGGACTACGGCGGAGGCGTCGGGTTCTTGGGACCAAAAACTTAGGAGCAAATAGATGGTTTTGATTAGTGTAGATTGACTATAGGAGATTGCCCCCTAATGAGAGGGCAAGCCTCTGTTTTTATAGTGAACCCAAGGGGTTAGAATCCTAGTGGAACATTGAGTCCTCTTTTTTTGGAGATAATCCCTATCAAGAAAGAAATATGATTTCTTGACCTTATCAGATTAAGTTTAATAGTTTAAATAAGAGTTGGAATCTTAGTAGGACACTAAGTCCTATTTTGAGAGATAATCCCTATCATGAAAGAGATATGATTTATTGACCTTATCAGATCAAGTTTAATAGTTTGAGTAAGATTTGAAATCTTAGTAGAAGAGGAAATAGAATGAGATTCTGATTTCCTATTTATAGACTGTTGCAGGCTAATGGGCTGAAACCCAGTTTAGCTTAACTTATAGGATAGCCTAACTCATAGAGTGGGTAGGTTGCAAGGTGATTTTAAGCGTAGGCCCAATAGGGATTAGGTTGAGGCCTTGGGCCGTGACATGTTTATTTCGTTATTGGGCCTCGTCAAGCCCAAGATGATTTTTGGCCCTAACACTTCCCAAAATGAGCCGCGGTAGCGGCAGTGCCAAGCGTGGTGTGGCTGCCATAACAAAGGCTTACAGTTCTCTCTTTCTATCACTATACCCACCAAATCCCTCCTCGCCCAAAGCAATTCCTAAACTGGATGAAGGAGATAAAGCTTTAAGAAAGAAAAGAAATTTTTTTCCTTTTACTTTTTTCTATTTCAATTCCTTTTAAACCCTTCATATAATGGAAGGGGTTTAAGGCTATTTCTGAAACTATAGGGTTTAATTAAATATTTCAATAATAAAGGGGTTCATATAATCTTGAGTTTTTGGACCTTGCTTATTGTTAGAATTCTAGATAGAAAGACAAAGAATGAATTTGTATATTCAAGTGTGTGTTTTCCAATGTACAAGAGGTTTCTATTTATACATTACAAACTTGAATCATGTTAATGGCTAAAATCAAACTTTGCTTGATTCAAGCCATTGATCAAGTTTTACTTGATTTTGGCTAACACTTATTCATGTTGATTTTTGCTATATGGCTATAGGGTTATCATTTATACAGTTGCATATCTTAGCATTCAACAAAAATCTTTAATATTTACATATTTTCAGCAATGTACAAAAAATAAAAATAAAAATGATTTCAATGGTGACATTATACGTTGAGAAAGGAAAGCAACATTTAATATTTCTAAGTCAAGGATGAGACTTCCTAACATTATAGTGCTTTTATTTAATTTCTAATTAGGGTTTTAAAAATTATTAGTCAGATGTTAAGTGTAGAAACACTACATACACATTTCAAATAAATTATTCATAAACTGCATGCCCCTTAGTGAATAATAATTATATTAAAAAAAAGTTAAAACATACTTTTTTTTTTCTTTTTACATTTTGTTGACACAAACTAACCGATTGTGTTAACAAGGGTATGAAGAGAACAATTTTCAGTAAGAGGAGGAGAGTTTTTTAATAATATACTTAAAATAAGCATTTTGCATTTTTTTTTTTTTTTTTTTAAATCTAGAGATGACTTTTGAAAATACAGGGAGGAGTTTTAGCCAAAATTCAAATATGATTACATGAAAGAAAAACAAAGAGGTCAGAATCAGATTGAAAATGGAATAAATGATAGGCTTCTTGCAATTTGTCAAATGAAAATTTTGAGATTATTTCTATTATTTACTTACTACTAATTTTTTTCTACCTTTTCAATGGAAATCAGTTGTGGATTTATTGAAGAATGTTGATGTGCATGCCATTATCACGTCAGATCATCTGCTAAATGCAAACAAATATGTGATGGCATTGGAAGAAAAAGCTCAAGTCCCGTTTATTTCATTTTCTCCCACACAAAGCCCTCAATTCATCCATACAACCCAAAACTTCTCCTTTTCCGTGAAAGCCATTGCTGCCGTTTTACAAGAATTTAAATGGCGTGAAGTTGTTCTTATACATGAAGACACAACATATGGCACTGGGATCATTCCTTATGCCATTAATATTTTCCAAGAACTTGGCATTCGTTTTGTGCACATTAGCGCAATCTCTAGTTTTGCTGAAGATTTTGAAATCTCTAAAGAACTGAAGACATTAATAACACTCATGCAAACTAGGGTTTTTCTCGTGCACATGACTGTTTCAATTGGTTCTCGACTGTTTGAACTCGCGGATAAAGCTGGAATGATGAGTAAAGGATATGTTTGGCTCATCACTGATGGCATGTCCAATTCACTAGATGCAGTAGATCTCACAACCATTGAAGGAATGAAAGGTGTATTGGGCATCAGGCCTTACGTCCCGAAATCGAAAGATCTTGAAAACTTCTGAAAAAGGTGGACAAGGAACCTCCAGTTAATGAATGCAAATAGTACAACAATAATTATGCCAAACATATTTGGTTTGTGGGCTTATGATACAATATCTTTATTAGCAATGGCATCAGAGAAGATTTGTTTAATGAATATTAGTACCAGCTTTTTACAGGTAAACAAAACCGAAAGTTCAATAGATGTTGAAAACTTGGGTGTTTCACAAATTGGTCCAAGACTTCTCAATGAAATCTTTGATGCCAAAATCACAGGATTCAGCGGAGAATTTGTGTTAGTTAATGGGAAGTTACAACAATCCACCTTTGAAGTGTTCAATATGATTGGACAAGAACAGAATGTTGTAGGATACTGGACTCAAGACAAAGGTTTATCCCGAAATTTGGGTTCGACTAAACGATCAACTCTCTCGAATTCAAGTAAGTTGAAAAATATCATATGGCCTGGACACTCCATAAAAATACCAAAAGGTTGGAACATACCCAAATTGAAAGTAGGGATCCCAAAGCATGAGGGTTTTACTCAATTTGTGGAGATTCAAAGGAATCCTTATACAAATGAGACAAAATGCACAGGGTTCTCATGTGATGTTTTCTTAGCTACATTAGATGCATTAGATTTCGAGGTTCCTTGCGAATTTGTCCCATTCATGAATGCTGAAGGAAGGAGTGCTGGAACTTACGATGAACTTCTTTACCAAATTGAGGACAAGGTTAGGCCTCCTGATTCGAAATCTCTTTTTTAAACAATTTTACATGCACACATATATTTATTGATTTTCAGGTTTGAATGTTCATATTTTTTTACTAATATTTATATTAATTCTTCTATTTTTTTTCATTGCCTTTATGATGAGAAAACTTAGAAAGTGGATATTGTGGTGGGAGATACCACAATCGTTGCCAATCGAACATCATATGTTGATTTTACATTGCCATATTCGGAGTCAGGTGTGACCATGCTTGTACCAATTAAGCGTGATAAACGCAAAAATATGTGGATTTTCTTACGACCATGGAGCTGGGTTCTTTGGTTGGCTGTCGTTATGTATTCTATCTTTACTGGGATTGCCATACGAATCATTGAACATGGCACGCCAAACACAGAATTTCAAGGATCAACTACACGTCAAGTCGGCTTGGTATTATATTTTCCATTATCATCTCTAGTCGTTCCTCAAGGTAAAATCTCTAACCTTCAAGTTAACAATCACTTAATTCACAATTTTCACTGTTTGATATCATACAAGGCAAAAGGAAAAAGGCAAAACTAAATTGGGTTGATTTTTCCATTTAAGCACATACATAGTGAACTAAGAAGAATAAATCTCCTTTTTGCTTTGCTTAACTGGGATATTGCATGAAGATATAGGAAAAATTCAGTGCATTTAAATTATCTTTTACGAAATATGTTAATTTCTTTCACTGATAACAGGAAAATTGGTCAGCAAATACTCCCAGTTTGTATTGATCATATGGTTATGCTTGGCATATATTTTATTGCAAAGCTACACAGCAAGTTTATCTTCGATTTTAACAATCGATCGGTTGAAACCTTCATTTGTTAGCGTGGATGAATTCAAAACAAAAGGTTATTTTGTTGGATATCAATATGGTTCATTTGTGAGAAATGATCTGTTATTGAATAAACTGAAATTCAATTAGTCCAAGCTTGTGCCATATCACACCATCCAAGAGTATCATAATGCTTTGTCTAAAGGGAGTGAGAATGGCGGAGTTGCAGCTATCTTCGACGAAATCCCCTACGTTAGAGTCTTCCTTGCCAAATATGGTTCTGAATACATGATGTCTGGACCAACATACAAGACTGATGGATTTGGCTTTGTGAGTAATTCTTTCCAAAATGATATTTTACATATAAAAATCCAACATTGATGAAGCATGATCCTGATATAATTAATATCACTCTAATTCTAATTTCTAAAGCCACAACTTCCTATGTAATATCTTAATTTTTTGCATTTATTTATTTCAGGCATTTCCGCTAGAATCTCGACTGGTCTCTTATTTTTCTACAGCGATCTTACGTGTGAGGGAAAATAAAACACTGGATGATATTGAGAAGAGATATTTTGCGCATGAACTTACTTCTCAAAGTGATAATGCTGATCCAATTGCTACTAGTAGTCCCAGCCTTGATGTTTATAGCTTTGGAGGTCTCTTCATCATCACAGGGGTCGCTACCCTATTTGCCCTTTTCATATCACAAAGCTGGCTTTGGCAAAAGCCTGTTGCAATGGCGAAAGATTATACACAAAAATACCTTGCATCTCATTCACCAAATAATACAGAAGAAATTGTCATTCAATCAACAACTGGGAATGAGATGAACGTCACTGAACAATCCTCAGTACCGGAAGTTGAGAGTACTTCTGAGAACCCTCCTAGAATGTCCAACCTGCAGATTGATGAAAATGTTTCTGCAGAACAAGCTAAGTAAAATGTACCTAGTTCGGTGTACAAATTAACATGGGTTACATCTAAGGTGAAATTTTAAACTTTTAAGATAATAGTAATACTAGAGATGTATATTATAAAAAAGATGGATTTACATCCTTTCATAATTTGAAGTTGAATTTTAAAGGATTTTATGATACATTAAAAATCTATTTCACGCAGGACTTTTTGTTGCTGCACTCCTTTTAGGGGGGTAGTTTGTTCCTTTTCCTATTTCTAAGCCTGTCCAGAAGCAAGTTGTTTGTAGCCTCTTGAGGCGCCGTTCTTTTTTTAGTTTATAAAAGCTTAATTACCCAAAAAAAAATAAAAAAATCTATTCCTTTGCTAAAATTTGTACTTTTTATTTTTAAAAAATAGTAATCACCAACATGTTTTTGTCAAATAAATGCTCCTATTTGAGGATTATCCCTAAAAATACTATTTTGTTAAGTCTCCATTTACAATATATGCAGGTCAGCCCAACTTAATTCTTCCCAAACCTGAGATAACACGGGCTTGTGACCCAGCCCATTTGGACGCTTTCTTCGCTTTTGATTTTTTCTTTCCATAATCTCTCTACTGATTCTCTGTTTTCATGGCTTCCGTGTGCTGCCCACAACTTGATTTTTCTGTTCCTTTCAAGCATAAGTCCACTTGATATCTTCACATCCTCTTCTGGGTCTGTTTAAAATTTGTTTCTTGTGATGGGTTGTTTCATTTTTGGCTAATTTATATTCTTTCTGTTCGTTTTCAGGAAGCTAGCATTTGATTTTGGCTTTTCGAGCAGAAGTGTTGAGGATTGAAGGCTGAACCATTGTAATTTTTATTTGTTTCATATTGCGTTTCTTTGTAAAAATTGTAATGTTTTTTGTGATTTAGATGTCATAAGCATTCTTAAATTGGCTTGTCAACTGTTCTTAAATTGGCCTCGTGGAATCTTATCTGATGATTCCGATGTTTTCTTCAATAATGATACTTTTTATCTCTGTAGACCAGATGGGAATAAGAAGGTTGAGATAAGTTCCCATTGTCTCTACTATTTAGAAAGTTTTATCCCTTACTAAGAACTTTGTAATTTCAATCAGGAAGTTGGAGCCCTATGTTCTAACTTTGAAGTTTGATCGCCAAATGATTTATTTGGTATTCACGAAAAATTATTTTGTTCTTCATGTTTTCTTTTAGAGGTGGAAGAGCTCAGTGTCTCAAAAACTTACTTTAAAAAATTGGATTTTGGGCTCGGTTTGAAATTAGTGTCTTAGTTGAGTTGATGTTTGTACATGTCTAATATTGCCTTTGTTGTTTTCTTTGATGTTTCATCTCGCTTTGAATAAAGTAAATCTTGAAGAGACTTGCTGCAAGTAAAAAATTCAAACTAGGTTATGGGCAGAACAGAGAAAAAAGGAGATTTTATGAATCTTTTTTACTTACCGTGCAATGTGAATTAATAATCCGAAGTTCATTATGTCTTTGGTCTGGCAAATAATTTGTTTTAGTGTTCTTACTTGCAATTATTTATAACTTTGTAAAAATTTTGACCATCAATATAATTCATCAGGGGTAGTATGCTGCCTATTTTTAATTGTGTGCATGAAGAAGTTGGAAACTGATGGATCATATTTTATTGTGGTGGCAGATGACATTAGAGAGATGGTATTTGTTAGTTTACTGTGTTTGGTATAGAGTTGTTTATGTCAGATATATCTGAAGATTTTGTGCTTATTAATTGTTAATAAGTGCAAAGTTGGATTTGAAATGAGTTTCACTTGCAGATTCAGAGTGTTCGGGTGTGGAGTAATGCTTATACTTTTGAGGCAGTAGATTTATTTAGTTGCTCTAAAATATTAAATTCTTGTGTTTAAAGTTCTAGATTTTCATGGTATGCCATGTTTTTCTTTTAGTTTTAACTGTATTCAGTTTATTTTCTTTTTTTTTTTTTTGGTCCAGTCTTGTAGTTTATGGTGATGTGTTTTATCTTTGCTGTTCCCCTCTGTTTGTAGTCCGCATCAAGTATGTACTCTGTAAGTGCTAGGTTGTGACCCCATTACTACCCTGGTGCAAAAATTTAAAGAAAAAAGAAAACTGTGACACAAAGAAGAAATAGAAATTAAAAGATGTATTTTTATTTGCATCTAATATTGCAGTTGTTTTTCTAGCATGCTTCTCTTTCTAACCTCCACCCAATCATAGACTAAAATTTGGCTGCCTTAATCTCGGATACAACTTATGAACAGCTCAGCTTTCACATCTATAGTTTCCTTTCAAGCATTTTGCATGTTTGTTCTGACTTACATAAATATAATTTGTCATTATCATTTTCTTCTAGTAATGCTTCCTAGAGTCAAGAACAGTGTTGGTTTGCAAACAACTTAGAAAATTATTCTACTGCCCAAGTATCTCATTTATTTCAGTATCTGATTAAGTTGCTTACTTTCCAACTTGTAATTTATATATTTTTTTATATCTGGTTAATTCCTCTCTGCTTTTGATGATAAAATGGTAGATATCCTTGTGTCAGTTATTCATGTTTCAGCTGTCAAATTTACAACCTGTTGGGCTTCAACACTCATTTTTACTTAAAGTTGGCAGTAATAGAGGCTCCAGATCGTACTTATACATTTTCTTTCAGGGAAAGACAGTCCTTTTTTTCTTTTTTTTTAATCTGGTACAGTAAATTGACTGCTGAAGTGAAAACAAAAATGTTACTCAAATTTTACAAATACACGTCTGCCCCTTTAACATTGTTCCAAGTACTTTCTGGATAACATGTCTTACATAAGAAATCTTCATCCATCCAATTCATTTCTGTCCTGTGAAAATCTGATTTGATTTTGGTGTTCATTTTGGTTCTACAGGCTTTTGATGAGTACATGATTTTTGTGATTGATGATACAAAAGTCCACATCAAGAACAATTAGCATGAAGTCATTAGGTGAATCTCTTTCTCACATTTTTAATCCCTCTAATCCCATTTTCATGCTCTATATCTTTACTTAGTTTCCTAGGAAGGATTCTTCTCAAATGAGACAACATAACTCTGATCATGAACACGTAAGTGAAATTTGATACAACCTTTGCTTCTCTCTTCTCATTCTCATATCAGTGAATTACTTTTTCTACATTGCAGGGAGAACTGATGATCATCCCTGCAATTTTGTAGATTGGCATTACGTGCATTTCGCTTAGCTTGTTGATCAGGCCATAGAGAATCTGCTACTATCTTTATGTACTTACTGGATTTCATGTATGATAAGCTTCTTGTATAGATGTTTTAGACATTAGATATACACATTAGATATACAGTCATTAGTATAATCCTTTAGGAACGATTATTCTACCATTTGTCTATGTGGTTGCACTTTCAATTGCATCCTTCTATCTAGTTTGTCAACCTAAATGACAAGGAATTTCCTTGGAGTTTCTTCTATTTTTACTTCAATCAGTTATATCTTGAATTTGGGTTTGACATACCCATCTCACATATCATTGTTGAACTCTCGCAAGATAGTTTAAGCTATTAGGTCAATTGACTACTTAACGATTTTGAGTCACATCATTACTTACAAAACCTTATAATTTAAAATTTTGGGTTATATAGAGCTTGTTTGGTGTGGTTTATCTATTGACCAAAAAAGTTATATAAAGCTATTAGCACTTTTGGAATTTTTTTAGATTTTTTAGTTGCATTTCAAAAGTGCTTATAGAATTTTAAATAAGCTATTTTGTAGCTTATGGGAGAAGCTCAAAAATTGAGTTTCCTCTATAAGCTCTTTTTAAGCTTTAAAGTGTTGAAATTTCAAAAATATTCCTATTCTTTTTTATAAATTTGACTTAATCTAATCTTTTCACAAGTTCTACTCTAGCAGACCCTTAATTAGCAATATCTTTACTGCTTTTTTTGGTTCCTTAGTTTCTATGAAATGCAATGAATATTTATCTTGAATTAGATTATATTTTTTTCTTCAAAGGTAGATAAATATCCTTAGATCTCAGAGCTTAAAAAACATTTTGAGATTCTAACTGGTGTAACTGAAAGAATAAAAGAGAGAAAGAAAGAGACGTTATCCAGTGGGTTTGGGGGGTGAGTGGGTGAGCTTTCTTGTGATAGAAACAAGCGAGGAAGCAGTGCAGGGTGTAGGAGAAAATGACTTGTGGTGGGAGCCATGGTGCTGGTCCTGGTACACCCGTGTCCTTTGAGCAACAATTTGTGAACCCTTTGTCTACTCATGAGGAAACCAACTGCCCTCACCCATTTGGTTCTCTTTTTAAAGTCACTACCTTGGCACCCAATACTGATTTCTGACTCACCCTCCACACGCTCCCTATCTCTCCTTTCTTACTATCTTACAACTTTTGCACATTCACCATTCCTTGTATTTTGCTAGCTTGTTTGGATGCTCTTCCACCTTTATTCTCTATCCACTGAGCCTACACATGAATCATCACTTTTGAGAAAGAGATATGTCGGACCTCAAATATTATTGTCGGACTCTTACCTGTACCATAGTATCATAATCAAAAGTCGTGTTCAAATCCATCATATGTTACTTATTTACATGATATTCATAGTTGTTACGTTTCCGTCTAGTATTCATATGCTTTTTAGAAGGATAAAGCAAGAGTGATGATCATGTCAAATCATAAGTATGATTTGGGTTTCCACAAGTAACATTGTTTTGATGAAGGTGGGAACCTTGTATATGAATCATCACTTTGGATTAAGAGAAATTTCAAACCTCAAATATTAGTGTCAACTCTTACCTATTACCATGATATCATAATTGAAAGTCTTGATTGAATCCTTTGTATGTTACATGTTTACATGATATTTATAGTTTTTTACGTTTCGGTCTATTTTTCATACTTTTTAGAAGGATAAAAGTGGTGTGATGATGTCGTCAAATCTTGGGTGTTAGGGTTTGCACAAGTAACATTGTTTTGATGAAGGTGGGAAGCCTTGTTTTGAGATTTCAAAGTGATTAATTGAAGATTATCCAGACAACTCAA